GTCCCCCACTGGTCATCGCTCGGGCGTCCATTCTCTGTGCTTTTTCCGGTTTCGTGCGTGGCTTTCCGCCAGACGATCAAGGATGCTCCTCGATGGTCCTCGCCGAAGGAAACATGCACACGTCCGAGCGATGCCAAGCCCAGGGGGGAGTGAGGGCCACAGCTCCCCCAGTTGTGGCGCTGACCCAGCGTGCGGCGGGATGGCGGAGAGGCCCCGCCCGTCTGCAGCGCGCATGGCCTCGGCTTCGGGTCGTGTCGGCTCTGACGCCACGGTGTCCCACCCGTGCTCCATGGCTACATTCAGGTCGGGCCTGTCCCCCCACAGGGGGATTTTGGGTGAAAAATTGAAAATAATAAAAAATGCCCTCACATGGCCAAGAAATGCTCAAAAGATCGTCCCCACATGTTTTTGTTCACTATTTCTGAATGCTCCTCCTGTAGAGGGACAGGCCCAGAAAGAATTCGGAGGCCTGGAAATGGGCACCAACACCAACACAGGGGGTTGCCTCCACAGGGGGAAGATGATCCTACATTTCGGTGTTGGTGGTAATATTTCGGCCACATTGGAAGCCAGAATATTACCACCATCACCGAGATCGGGATCTTCTTTCCTGGATGGAGGCACACCGCCGATATTGGTGTTGGTGTCAACCTCTAGGCCTCCGAAAAATGTCGGGGCACCCGGAGAAGCATCCCGAAGCAGTGCCTGCCAGCCGCCAGCGGAGCGTCGGTCGAACGAAGATCGCCTCCCGGGGCCCGACGCGTGAGACCCTCCAATTTCGATGCTTCCTTGATGCTCGAAATACACACCCGTGACAAACATTTCTTCAATCTGCTATGATGACATGATGCTGGGTCATTCGGCGGAGTAGTTCCCGATCCCGGGATGTTCATAACTCTGTTATCCCAACACGGGGTCGGAAGCTACTCCGCGCCAGACCATGTAAATTACCGAGCGGGATGCGATTGCGCGCGGAGTAGTTCTAGTAAAACTACTCTGGACTACTCCGCACGAGCGCGTCATTCCAAAAGGCAAATTGAAAGAAACTTTCGTCACGGCGATGTACTTGCAGGTGATCAAGGCTAACATGTGTTGGAACATCTTAACCCTGACGTTGGTTCCTGACCCCTGGGGGATCGTTCAGCCCTGAACGATCGGCAATTTCCGGAACGTCAGATCGTTCAACATCGACCGACTCCGGGTCGCCAGCGGCGTTCAACGACGCGAACCTGCCGTGCCCAGACCTCCTCGAGTCACGAGCAAAAGCACGACGCAAAGGTTTCGGTCATTTTCGGCCTCTCGGGGCCCTTCCTTGGCCTCGAGACGGTAAACCAAGACGACTCGGGATGAAAAGCCGATCCCGGAGAATGGGTCGAGATCTTTGGGGTTGGAACCGACATCGGAATCGGTCTTGCCGAGGTGGGCCGCGAGGGCACTGCAAGTTGGCACCGGAGCGCCGGCTGCATGTGAAGCATGGAGAATACGAACAAGCGACGCCTGGCTGCGCAGTTGCGTCGGCCAGCACGGCTGTTAGCGAGGACGGTGGAACACAAAGTGTAAGGGGCACCTTCGGGGTCGACGTGATGACAACGTCACGACGTCGGGGGCCTGGTTGCGGGGGGCACAATCTTCGTCGACTTTCGTGGGCCCCGAGCCCCACAACTGCGGCAACTTCGTGTCGCAACGGCCCTGGCCTTGGCTCCTGGCACCGTGTGGGCCGTTCCACCTTGAACGATGAGTGGCCTCTCGATCGCCAGGTCGTTCCATGTCGGCCAATTCCGGGGCACTGGCGGCGTTCAAACTTGGACGCCCGCGGCGGGGTCGCTGCCGCGTCGGTTCGACACGACCCTGCCGTAAGAAACCTTGCGACAAGACATCTTGGGGCGCGCTCGTCGTCGATCGTTGTGGGCCCTGAGCCCCAAGGTGCCTCAGAGCTCAGGGGGCTTCCCTGGGGCCATCGGGGAATAAGAGACTTCCGTGGGGCGCCCGCTGGCAGGCCCTTGTCTAATTTGGTGTGCGTCCTGTAATACGGTCAGCAACTTCTGCCCCCCCCGAAAAATGGTCGGCAGAAGTTTCTTCACCAAATGCTCGACCGCACGTGTAACGCCCGCCCGTGGACTTCTCCCCAGACCTTCCAGGGCGCATCCAGACCAACATTTCGGGGCGAATCCAACCATGGCGACGAGGACCACCCAAGAGGCCCCGCAAGGTGGACACGAGGCAAGGGCAGAGGAATGGATACCTTGTCCTCCTCTCAATAATGCGTGCCCCTGGGCTGTTCGCCCCTCTCGTCGCCTCCGCTGTTCGATCGTCCTGGCGAACGTAAGACACGGGTTCGGGGGACTCGGACTGGCCCGACGGGGCCGTCAGGAAAGTGACGAGTCCCAGCCTGAAATTTGACGCGAGCTCCCACTGCAAGCATCCCACGAAAACTGGACTGTCAAAATGCGGGGCGGGTCCGTCAAAAAACGTCGGCAAACCCAAGTTCCAGCGAACTCGAGTCTTGCGTTTCCCTTCCCTTGGCGCGGCACTTCCCAAGCCGGATCGTCGATCCGTGGGGGTCTGCAGGGAGAGCCCCAAAAAGCACAGCGTGCCCAAGCCGCTCACACAGCTTCACCCTCGACCGTTGAAAATCGGCGACTGCGAAAGGTATGGTTTGCAACGGGTGTGGTTTGCAACCCGCACCCTGAGGGGTACCCTTGGGGGATGGGCGAGGACAGTATCGTGCCCCCCAGGCCCCGACGGTGCCGATCGCAAACCACACCCCCGCGTAACCATTACCTTTGTAGTCGCCGAGAAAAGCTCGAGCCTCGACCCAGGCCCAGATATCGGATGTCTTGACTGACTGCTTCGGCTACGCGCAGGAGTGGCCCTAGGCTCGGGTCGGGCGTGTCCCCCTGCAGGCCGATTTTGAAAGAAAAATGAAACAAAACACGCGACAAAATGTTCAAACATAGTCGAAACCCAATCGACAAGATCGTCCCCAGACTATGTTTTGACTATTTTTGAGAATTCCTCCTGTAGAGGGACAGGCCCGACTTAATGGAGGATGACGATTAATAAATGACAGGGGGTCGTGTTCACGCGGCGGCGCCCGGGATGACGATTAGAAAAAACCGGCCGCGGGCTGGAAAACTATTCTTGCAATCGTTCTACTCCGGGCAGAAAATTGTGCAGAAATAGCAGGAAACTTTTTTTGTTTTAATCGTTCCCCCCCACTTTGTTTATTAATCGTCATCCCGCATTATCAACCCTGGGCAAGAGTGGCCTCTCCTGCGCGGCCACGGGGGGCCCCAATTGGGGAACACCGCCAGAGGCGCAAGCCGCTGCGGTCGCCTCGCGTTCGGCGATCGAGGGGGGCCCTGCTGGGCCCGCACCAGAGGTCCATCGGGCGAAAAGTAAAACGACGCGAAGATCGGGACAAGATCGGATCGGGATAACTCGAAATCTCTGAGAATCGGCGGGTTTGGAGGATGTATTGGGCGCCGCGGCCGCTCCAGAGCGTTCCGGAACGCTCTGAGAGCGCTCCGGAACGCTCTGGAGCGATTTATCCCGATCCTAGCCCTGTTTTAAAAAGTCACTCTTACGTGTAGCCGACTGCTACAATCCCAGAACCCCCGACGTCCTGATTGTTCATGGCGCGACCCCCAGAGGTCCGGACCCATTCCCCGGGTCCGGTTTTTCGTCCGGAATCGTTTTTCGACGGTCCCGAGGGCCAGTGAGGGCCCCCTGAGGCGGAAAGTAGCGCAACACCTCCCGTCGGGATTGTTTCATGACTCGAAGGGGGTCTGGGATACGGGATCCGCGACAGTTGAGCAGGGACCGACCGTCCCGGCATTCATGCCCATAGGCGTACCACGACATGTTCTTAGAACCCGACAATGTTCTCAGAAAAAAATCAATGTTCTCAGAACAAAAACCCGACGTGCTAAAGCGCGACAGTCCCAGCCAGAGAGGTCCGAAGAACATCTTTCGCGGAAACCAGAACAGGTCCTCAGAACAGTGTCTGGTAGGCCTATAGGCACGCCAGGACGCTTCGCCACTGCTTGAGACATTTGGACGCCCGAAATGGATACCGAAAAAATGAGTACAATGCCCAACAACAAATGTTGTCCCAAACAAACAGCGGCCGCTGTTGGGCAGGCGGCCCTCTGCCTCGAATGGACACAGGCCAGGGCGGCGCGGACAGCAAGTCCTGTCCAAAGTGAACAGGAACTGCTGTTGAGCATTGTACCCTCTCTTTCCGTGCCCATCTCGTTCGTGCAGAAGACAGGCGCCCCCCCCCCGCGCCCGGCGAGGGGGGAGCCGCGGCCCGCGCGGTCGGAGGGCGCCTGGTGCCCGAGGCGCGGGGCGCCGCGGCGAGCAGCAGGAGCAGCGCGGCCCCGGCGGCGGGGGCCA